CTTTGAGTGTTCTTTTTAAAAGAGGAAGAGATGACGATGTTTTGATGGGGTAAGGAAGAGAATTCCATATTTTGATAGCACAGAATGATGCTGTCATTTTACCATAATTAGTACAAGCTTTAGGCAGCAAGAAGTTATTTTTTTGAGCAAAGCGAGTAGGGTTATTATTCTTCAAGGAATCCAAGGAAATGAACTCGTGGGTGAGATCTTTATTAATTAACCTGAACAGCAAGGTAATTAGGTTAAATGCAAATAAATCATTAGTGGTGAGCACGTTATTCTCCATGCGTACGATATTAATATTATCGCGACTAAAGTTAGAAATAATGCGCAGAGCTTGATTTTGTATATGTTGAATAGAAGAGAAATGACACTGATATGTGATGCCATATGCAGCAATACCGTAATTTATATGACTATGAATGAATGCGTGATAAAGTGAAAGGAGAGCAGAAGTAGACAAACAATGTCTAGCTTTTATTAGTGCTCTTATGCCGAAAGAAGTTCTTTTCCTAACTTGTGATATATGATTGTGAAACTTTAGTTGTTCATCGAGATAGACACCGAGAAATGAAACGCAGTCGCTAGTCGAAATGAAGTGGGAGTCGAGGGTTACCTGAGGTGAAAATTGAAGTCGTCTTTGAGGAGAACGGAAAACCATGAATTTAGTTTTGTTTGGATTTAAAATCGAGTGATTATTCTGCCACCAAGTGACAATATTAGCTAAGGTAGTGTTTAATTTATTAGTTAACGTTGTTATAGATGCATCCGAGTCTGAGATAGTAGTGTCATCAGCGTATAACATGCATTGTGAGGGTGAAGCGTGTAGAGGAAGATCATTAATATATAGGATGAATAATAATGGTCCCAAGATTGAACCCTGTGGCACCCCCTGATTAATTGTTTTAGTGTCTGAAAACTTGCCAGATAAATAATCTGTTTGCCTTCTGTCACACAAGTAGTTTTTCAGAAGGATTAACGCTGGCCCTGTTATTCCATAGGCTTCTAATTTTTTTAGTAACATACCGTGATTAATTGTATCAAAAGCCTTTGAAAAATCTAAGAATACGGATCCAACAATGAGTCCTTTGTCTATGGAACTTTTAATGTAGTCTGTTAATGAGATTACCGCCAAGTCGGTTGAACTACCAGAACGGAAACCGTATTGGCGGTCGTTCAAGAGATTAAATTTTTTTAGGTAGCTATTCAGGCGACTGACAAATAGTTTCTCAAATATTTTGCTGACGGATGATAAGATAGAAATAGGTCGGTAGTTGGAAATAATTGACCTATCACCTTTCTTAAAAATGGGTATGACTTTTGTGTTCTTAAGGGTGCGTGGAAAAATTCCAGTTTTAAAGATAAGGTTAATTATGCTGGCCAGCGTTGGAGAGATTAACTGGCCTACCATTTTTAGGTGACGTACATGAATGTCATCTAATCCAGGAGAGGTATCTTTAAGGCTCTTAATAGTGGTGAAAACTTCTTCTGATGTTACAGGGAAAAGAAAAAACGAAAAATTAACTCGACTCATGCTACATTCAGCGCCCGTATGATCCTGATTGTAAATTTCAAAAAAAGAAGTCACTGAAAGCATTAGCTATTTCAAGCGCGTCATCGTACGTACAGTCATTATACATAATTTGAGATTGAAGTGTGACACGTTGTTCTGTTTAGGAATGTATTGAGACACTCCCATTTTTTTAGAATTGTTCTGGCGACTTAAAAATTCTTTTTCGTAATAACTTTTCTTAGCCTTTTTGAGCAAAGAATTTAAGATGTTGCAGTACTTTTTGTATCTTGATGCCAATTTTAGATTGAAAGGTCGCTTTTTTGTTTTTTTTGTATAAGTTTTTTTTACGCATGCTTTTAAGAAGACCCTTGGTTATCCAAGGACATCGAGGTGAATTGTAACGCCGTTTACATTTGCTAATAATTGTATTCCGAGACACGGCTTCTCGAAAAAAATCGCAGAAACTTTCGAGTGCACATTCAGGATCTTGCACCTGATCAACTTCAGACCAATCGATATTACTCATATCTTCTATAAAGCTGCTCTTATCGAATACTTTGGCCAAGTATCGTGTACTGTCCGAGCTGGTCGACGAGTTAAAGGTGATGAAAATAGGATAATGATCGCTAATATCAGTTTTAATCACCCCCGAGAAAGGTGCAGGAGTGATGTTAGTTAATGCGTGGTATAGAAGCGTTTCTCTTCCATAAAGTGTGCATCTTGTTGGCGACGTTATGAGTTGCTCGTAACCAAATCCACTAAAGCAATCAGTATAATTTACAAACAGCCTGTTGTCGATATCTAACAAATTGATATTGATATCACCCACTATGAAAACGTGTTTATTTTCTGCAGCTAATATGTTGAAAATGCGATCGAGGTGAATCATAAATTCAGGTGAACATGATGATGGCGAACGGTATATACAGCCCAAAACAAATTTTTTTGAATCAACGGACAAAAAGGAATGATCAAGTTCAATCCATACCGACTCACACTGCGCAATAGGTATACTAATGTCGCGCCTTCTAGTGTAGGGGATTTTATCGGAAATAAATATAGCTGATCCTCCATGACAATCATTTGAGCGGTGACAGTATTCTGATTGATAAGACGGAAATCCAAACATGTTAGTATCAGCTTGACAAAGCCAGGTTTCGGTTATGCATATGAAAGAAAATGGAACAGAAAGGGAAGTAAGAAAGCTACTAATATTATCGTGATTACGCCGAAGGCTTCTTGCATTCAAGTGAACGAGGCAAGGATTGTTGTCAGATATCAAAGATAGTAAATTAGTGGGCGACAGAGAAGCCATGTTTCCCATATATGTTGCATTTCATGGTCGTAATCAGAAAAGAAGGAAATCTATGGGAAAATGCGCAGATCTGAGTCTGCGAGAATGCGAAACACCCTGCTGTCGTTAGTCTTTCGCGCCTTTATCTGGCAGTTTTCTGTCCACAGAAAGGACCACCTTTTTTTTTTTTCTTCAACGCAAGAGCCCTAGAAAACAACTTTTTGTTCTCGAGAGTCAAGTGATCGTTTACATACACGGCCCGATCAGTCGCATTACCGAAGCCGGTCTGGGATGTGTGAATCCGAGCTTTTCGCGCCTTCTTAACAAATTTATTTTTCTTCTCGCGACAAACAAAACGTGCAATGATATTTTTTTCGCCAGATTTTGCAGCAACACGGTGAACACAATCAATGTCATCAGTCGAGACAGGACAGCCTATTGCTTGCCCAACCTGCTCAAGAATGGCTGCGCATTCTCCTTGAGTACTTGGGACGCCCTTTATTTCAACGTTGTTCATTCTAGAATACTCATCAAGGTCAGCCAGTTTTTTTCTGAGGGCTTCATTATTAATAGCAAGGGCTTTGTTTGCAGCAATAAGCTCGTCCTGTCTTGCACGTATTGCATCATATTCCTTACTTAGAAATTCCACTGTATCGCAAAGCGAACCCTGTTCGTCGATAGAACGGTTCTTGATTTTTTCTAGTAGCCTTCCTGTTAGGTCATTCACGAGGTCCTCCAACTTGTTTTCAAACTTTGTCTCGAGCGATTCGAGCCTTTTCGCGAGTTCAACATTTGATGGCATTCTAGTTTACGACAAGACAACAAACCAAAATAAACCAAAATGCACAATGGCTCAGCAGCAGCCGCGGTGAAGCTATTTTACAGAAAATACCTTAAAATGGAGCGCAACCAACCTGCAGATACAAGAAGAGGCGTTTACGGGATGTTGACTTTGCCGCGGACTGCTGCTGAATGTGGCGACGACGCTGTTCGCAGAGTCTTTTATAGCCCTTGTGGAGCGGCTAGCTTACTGCGCAGGTCCACAGTGCCGCCAACAGAGGCTTGTCAGTCGATTCGAACGTCCTTCTGTCCACGTGGAAACTGATACCATCAATGCTACACCCTGCAGATACAAGAAGAGGCGTTTACGGGATGTTGACTTTGCCGCGGACTGCTGCTGAATGTGGCGACGACGCTGTTCGCAGAGTCTTTTATAGCCCTTGTGGAGCGGCTAGCTTACTGCGCAGGTCCAGAGTGCCGCCAACAGAGGCTTGTCAGTCGATTCGAACGTCCTTCTGTCCACGTGGAAACTGATACCGTCAATGCTACACCCTGCAGATACAAGAAGAGGCGTTTACGGGGTGTTGACTTTGCCGCGGACTGCTGCTGAATGTTGCTGAATACTGCTGCTGCTGATAGATAGATAGATAGATAGATAGATAGATAGATAGATAGATAGATAGATAGATAGATAGATAGATAGATAGATAGATAGATAGATAATAGATAGATAGATAGATAGATAGATAGATAGATAGATAGATAGATAGATAGATAGATAGATAGATAGATAGATAGATAGATAGATAGATAGATAGATAGATAGATAGATAGATAGATAGATAGATAGATAGATAGATAGATAGATAGATAGATAGATAGATAGATAGATAGATATATGATAGATAGATAGATAGAAGATAGATAGATAGATAGATAGATAGATAGATAGTAGATAGATAGATAGATAGATAGATAGATAGATAGATAGATAGTAGATAGATAGATAGATAGATAGATAGATGATAGATAGATAGATAGATAGATAGATAGATAGATAGATAGATAGATACGCGCAAAGTCGCCGAAGTTGGCCAAGCAATGCTTCGCATTTAATAAGCGTTGTGTTTAAAGCCAAACCAACGTCTTTTTCTCTGCAGCCGTTTCGCGGGCGCTTTTGAAATACTTTAGGTTTTCACCTAAGAGCCACTCTAGGCCTCGGAAAGTTCGATTTCATAAAGGACCACCATGTACATGGCGAAGAACTTCGTAGCTAAATAATTCATCCGGGCATAGTGTTGTTCATAACTTTGAAGGCTCACAACTACTCCTACATTTTTTTAGCATTCCCCGCGATTTTAGCCCTTGACCATATCGACCCTAACAATTTATCCCCGTCACTTTTCTCAACAGATCCCATGTGCTGTGCCTTACGCTGTCACGAAGGCCGCCCTCGAACATCTGTCGCGATGTGCTGCCCTAGGTGAGTGCTTTGTATAAATAACTGCGAAATACCGAAGCAGCTACAGATTGTGCAACAGAAGACTTAAAAAGATAATTCAGGACCCCAGATGCCGTTTCGACTATGACTCTCTTTTGCTTTATAGACATCTTAAAGTGAGGCAGTGAGCACCACTGACCTTACGCCAAGTGTTAGCTATAGAGCATTTGAACACAGTGAATGGAAGACCTTTGTTAGACGTTCTCACTGTTTTTTTTTTCATTTGAAGCATCTACATTGACATGAGGTCCGAGTTTTTGAGTTACAGTTTTACGAACAAAGAGAGTACACAGCTATGTTTTGCGTGAAAACGGGATAAACCTTAATTAACATAGATTCGGTTCTTGAAGCATTATGACGGAAAGAATTTGCTGTTGTAATCTTCCGATAATCACCATTGTCTAGGAGCTCCGTATACAAACCGGTGGAGAGACCACACTTGATCAGTCACCTCAGCAAATATTATCAGTGTTACGTATGGCTGATACTACTGTTAGTACTACTACTACTGCTGAGTAGAATATTTCTTTTTTCCTTTCCCACGGTTACAGAGAATGCTCCGTATGGTGTACGTGTGAACGCAGTAAGGTAAGAACATTCTTCTGTTCATCCCTTCATATGAAACGCCAAGGGTACGTGGTCCAAAGCTTCGGCACAAGATAGAGAGAATAAAATGAGGGAAAGGCAGGTAGGTAAGCCAGAAATTGGAGCATCCGGTTTGCTACTCTGCACTAGGAGAAGGGAAAATGGGGAATAAAGACTGGCAAAGAAAGTGAAGAGCGAAATAGATGCACGAAAGAGAAAATAAAAGATTGTGAGCTAGGGTGCTATAATCTATTCAATAGGTCACTACCACGCAAAAACTTCAATAAGGCCTTCACTGATTTTCTGTGCGAAGTTGACAGGCAATTCGAAAAAAATAGAATAAATTATTTTAGAGTGCATAAGCCTTGTCTATGCCAAATCAGTCATCAAAAATTATGGTCGTCAGTCACGTAAGACCAATCACCATAAACAAGTCTATAGAAATATTTGAACATCGTTCGTGGTGCTCCCTATTGAACATAGCAGCTCGATCACAAGGCGAGTGCGTTGCTTTCTCTTATGAATAGTATTTTTTTTTTTGCATTTACGACGAACATCCAAAGAACACAGAATTCTATTTCAGTACATAACGACAGCAGCTATCACACACACTGTCAGTGAATGAGTGACTAGCATCTTTTTTTAAATTTTTTCATAAGTACTCAGGCTTGTCGTATTTGCTGCTTTTATCGTGTTTAGGTTAGCATTTTTAAAATTTCTTTGTAAGTGCCCAGGCTTTTCGTATACACTGCTCTCATCTTCTTTAGTTGAGAGGGTAGTGGCAAATTATTGTCTAGTGCTAGGTACACGATGCAAAAACATTACACCATGTCCCCCTCCCCCCCCCCCTGAACGGTACTACGAGGGGATGCGAAGCAGCTTTGGGGATGCACACCAAGTTTTCGCTTACGTTCGCTCGGCTTTCCCGTTTGTGTGCGCTTTCTATTTAGTGTTTGTGTTATTATTACGTTGCGTTTGTGCGTTGTCGAGGAAGTATCGCTCTATTCGTGCGGGTGCTCCGTCGGTTCCCGCTTGGTGAAGTTGTCTTGAAAGCCTCGCTACCCTCGCCGCAGACTCGCCTTGGCTCTCTCTAGCGGAGGCGGTAGCTCGACGCCAGTGCTTGGCTTCGACGTGGCCATTCCGGACCTTCGGGTTTGCAGCTGGACGTCCGGCGCTTGGCTTGCGCTTCCCTATAGCCCAAATTTCGGGATCACCTTGCCTGCGCAAGCGTTTGCGTTCGGCATCGCCAGCCCTGCGCTGATACTTCTCCGTGGCGATCTCTACCCTGGTAGAAGTTGGGACTGCTCATCTGAACGACTTATCTAAGCGGGAGCGAAGCGAGAACCGTGATGTCATCCCAAAGACAACGCATCATCCCAGCATTGACCAATTGAAACCCCCTAATTGCTAGGAAAAGTGAAATATTATATTATAATGTCATTATTCAGTCTGACTCACACATAAGTGTTAAGATACTGCGCTCTGTGGCCAAGCTCTTCCGCATCATGTTTCAAGTAAAAAGCACCATTAAACATCTTTTAAGGTCTTTTCCCTAAACGTTCTAACGTGCTTGCAAATGGCGCCAGTTACCGCAGAGACAGATTTGCATGACAAGCTCACTTTGAATCGCGCATGGAAGAGATAGGTGCGACCATTAGGGTGAACCGCCAGTCTGTAGCGTCTGGCTTTTACGTGAAGCTAGTGAGCTAGTGGTCTGTTTCTAATCTTCCACATTTGCATTCACTGTTGCATAAGTTTCCGTTTATGGCCCCGCCGCGGTGGTCTAGTGGCTAAGGTACTCGGCTGCTGACCCGCAGGTCGCGGGTTCAAATCCCGGCTGCGGCGGCTGCATTTCCGATGGAGGCGGAAATGTTGTAGGCCCGTGTACTCAGATTTGGGTGCACGTTAAAGAACCCCAGGTGGTCGAAATTTCCGGAGCCCTTCACTACGGCGTCTCTCATAATCATATGGTGGTTTTGGGACGTTAAACCCCACATATCAATCAAGTTTCCGTTTATGAAAATACGTGGGCGCTTTATTACTGGCTGATAGCTGCGCCCTTTTTCTGCACTTTCTATCAGCTCCCCGTTTGGCCAAATCTATTCGTCACTTTTTCGCTCTCATGTACAGGGCACAATGCATAGACTGCAACATCCGAAGAGTCTTTTTGTATTTTTTCATCACACCATTCCACCAATATTTGTTGCGTACCACCTTATGAAATATTCTGTCCTACTTTCATTTTGTTGCTCTGTAATCTTCCTGGATATTTCACATGAAGACATTAGCTCGGCGAAAGCACGCAGTGAGCGTAAACTTGACACGTGTTTATGTGCGCTCGAAGACAAAATGTATTTTTGTTTCACTGGTGCAGCAATCACTCAGGGAATTCATGGTAAGTGCGTGAGCTTAACCCTTTCTACTACATAGTTTAATTTACCCGAGTATTCAGTATATATAATCTCGCATTACACAACTACTATTCCCCTTCACACCAAGACAGCCCTAAATAGGAAAAAAAAACACGAAATTGACAAAAGTATCATTCCTTGCTACCTTTCTAGTTGAAAGAGCGTTATTACCCATTAAATGGCAATGCCATTAATCAGCCACGTATTATCACATTTTCAGAGCCTTGCGAAAATCCCTAGATTCATCAAAAACGCGTCCAATTCTTGCAAAAAAGTAAAAAAAAACCTAAATCTAGGGATAAATTTCCAGGATTGGTATCACTGAGTGAGAGTGACGGAAGCCGGCCAAGCGCACGCGCTTACTTGAAGTGAGGGAAGGAGAGAAAAGAGCGGGTTGGCAAGTGGCAGCGTGGGCGGAGGAGAGAAGGCGACCGAACACCTGCGTAAAGGATGAGAGTGGGATAGAGAGTAGGTGCATACGTAATGGAGCGTGGGTGGCATTGCATCAAGCTCGCTCATAAGATGCTTTGCATCAAACTTTTAAAGACGATTGTCTTTCTTGGGGACCTTCAACGCAGAAATTTTGATCTGTCTGTCTGTCTGTCTGTCTGTCTGTCTGTCTGTCTGTCTGTCTGTCTGTCTGTCTGTCTGTCTGGCTGTCTGTTTGTCTGCCTGTCTGTACATTTGTCTGCTTGTCCATCCTTAATGGTACCGGGCACTTTAAACGGCACCAGCGGAGATACCAAACGGCCGACCCCATCCGCAGCGCCCACCAATGTTGCTCAAGATTCAGCGTTCATACTTGTGCAATTGTCAGTTAAACAGCAATTGTCGCGCATATCTGAGACACCATAACACGTATATATTCTGTATGTGCATCTTTTACTAAAAAAGGCATAAGTTATTCTAAGTACCGTAGCGTTTATCATGCGGCGCTGACCATGCAACGCTTGCACGAAAAGGAAAGTGACTCCAACGCTTTGCTAAGACGACACGGTGGTGCTTACCCGACACCTTACGTTCTAACCCTTATCACCTTTGAGACTGGCGCGCACGCCCGTCTCAGAGCCGCCCATTTTGTTTACCAAGATAACTGGCGGATAGCGCTCATGTCTCACGTGTGACATGACTTGGTGCACTCGTTCGCCTCCGCTGCACGCTCGAGGCACTCTAGCGCAGCGCCTCCAGAATACCATTCACCGATGTTCTTGTGGAGAACATCAAATAAACTTTTCGTTCAATCTCTCCAGACGCAAGACTATCGTCTTTCGACGACATTTGTAGATTAACATGCAGATACGGGGCCATCTTTTTTTTTTTACTTCTGAAACACATTCGAAAATTTGGTCGAACGTAGTTGGACGGGCTAAAAACTGCCTACAGTGAATATATGTAGGGCAAACGAACTCTGTGTAACTTTGGTACAAAACAAGTGTAAAAGAAGGAAAAAACATTTGTGAAGGATGTCAAGTGAGAAGAACGTAATGTAGGAGAGTAAAGTTTGAGGCGCATTGTACACATGCACACCTAATATAGCAGGGGGTAGGAAAAGTTGAGGGTGCACAGTGACGTGATTAGTGAAGATAGAAAGAAGCGTAGGAGATGTAAAGTATAGCATGTACAACATCGTTTAGTGTAATATAGCTGAGGGGATTGAATATTTAGGGTGAGGAGGAGAGAAAGAGTAGGGAGTATAGAGCATAGTATCGCTGAGGGGCGTGGAGAAGGGACGCAAGTTAGAGGTTGGAGACATAAAGAGTTCAAACGCAGAGGAAGGTTCCTACAGTGCTAAACTATGCCATTCTTTCCCTAGAATTAGCAACGCTTGACATCGCTTCGGTGTCTCCTGAGTTCTACTGTACAGTGACTTCAACGATGTTGGGTCATCTCAACCACGCATGGTTTTTTTCGCAATTTCACATCGAGTTTAAGGTCATACGAATATTTTGGCAGGCAGATAGTCTGGGTAGAAAAAAACTCTAGTATGGACGCCATCCTGGGTGCTATATAGCGAAATGCTTTCTTCCAGAAAGCACTCATATTCTGCATATCGGCTTCGATTGGCTCAGAGTGCGTGCATTACTTGTCAAGTTGAGTGGACTCTGGAGCTTACACTAACACTTATCATATCCCTGCAACTTCCGATGCCTTCGCATTTATATCAGATGATGCGTTTCACCAAAGTTCACTATCTCGCTGCTGACCCAATGGTAGCGGGTTCGATCGCGGCCACGGCAGGTCGAATTTAGATGGAGGCGAACTGGCAGAGGCCCGTGTGCGTATTTGTAATTGCTGGCCCCGCATCGCACGAAAGAGGGAAAAGAAAGAGTGCAAGGAGGACGCCAGTGCCGGCCTCAGGATGGCTCGCGCGCTATTGGTTCGCCTCTGGAGGTGACGTGCTGGTGACGCGCGCGCTATTAACACAGCGACACCTACTAAACTTGCGCACCTGCAACCTCATTGGACTCGCTTGCTAGATTCCTGTGCCGACCAGTTGTGCCCTCGCGATTCCGGCGCCAGCGTAGCTCCGGCCGACTGGGCTCGCCCTACGTCACCTTCCTGACGCCGACTACCTTCGACGACAGTGTAGCTCTGACCGACTGGACTTGCTCTACGCCATCTACTGACGCCGACAAGAGCTCTCGCAAGTGGTGCCCGCGTGCTCGGACTCCTGTGACCGTGTTTCCATCTTTCCTATCTCTCCTATCCCCTCGGTTCATTGTCGCTTTCTCTGACTTGCCACGTCACGTCTCTTCCTCTTTTGTACACTTTTACTGCTGCACTTTTGATCCCTCCTCACCCCCATTCCTTGCGAGCTACTGTCGAGGTGTCGCTCACTGAAGCAGACAGTTACGGGGCTCACTTTTCTCTTTGTTTCTCTCTTAAGAATCAACTTCTCTGCAACCTCACTTTCAGCCATGCTCCCCGCTGTGCCATAAAACCTCTCCGGCTAAGCGGCGCAGCCCCCGCCATAATCCGTGGTAACGAGGGATAGGGTCTGGGATAAACAATAAGTTAGCGAGGAAAAGACTTCAGTTGGGTGCTCGAGCTGCCTATTCAGACGCCGCGAAAGCCTCGCAGAGGGCATTTATAACTCCCCCAAGATTGCCCGCTTCGTGGTCATTTGAAGCAAAGACATGGGGCGAATTTTCGCTCAGCCGCCGATCTCCCGAAGACACGCCGGCAGTCACTGTCGTCGTCGTGGAGTCGCGGAAACACAGAGAAGTGTTTACGGCTGTCCCATCGTGCCGAAGCACCCTCGCCCCTTCAGTGTCTTGGATGGATCGCCACCGTTCGGCGAGGGCGCCAGCGAGTGAATTTCTATAAGATTACGATAGCATGGTGATGCTTTCAATGAGCGAAGAGGTTCCGACTGTCAACGGGAAGTGCCTCCGCGACGCCTTCAGCACAGACAGCAGCAATGCCATTAATACGACCTGGATCGTCGTATCAGCTGCCTTGCTGTAGCTGGCGAGGCAATCGTGCGCATCCCTTCATGCAGAAGTCGACGAGGAGGCACTTCACGTCAGATAGGCCAGCCGAACTGGCGTCTATTTCGCACGTGAATGTGCGCGAAGCTTCCATATCATTCGGAACTGCGTCGTTGACTGGAACACGCTTCACGTTTGATGTGTTGGCGTCTAATTCAGATGTGAGCGTCTGGGCGTCTGCCATAACAGTCGGAATCGCGTTTATGCAAGGGCAGTTGGAACTGGTATGGTGTGTGACAAAAGTGCGATGCATGTGATTGAACATTAGATGGTAATTTTGAACTTTAATTCGCACATGAGCGTCGACCACGCCAGCAGTGGCGCGTATGATGTAGTGGTTGATTGAATAAAACAAAACAAAAAAGTCACTCTTCTACAACCCTTGCGGGTAGCATGGTTTGGCTCAGCTCTTACAGAGAGAGAGAAAGAGGGATGCAGAAAGGCAGAAGGGAAGACGATAGTTATAGCGCGAGAACAAAATGACGACACAGGCACAAGAAGGAGACGTCTCCTTCTTGTCTCTATGTCGTCGTTTTGTTCTCGCGCTATAACTATCGTCATGTCATACCAACTAGCCCAAGCTGCCGCAGAAGGGAAAGGTAGAGAAAGAGTGTGGCGGCAGGTTGTGGATGCTTCCCTACGATAAAACAGCCGGAAAAACTCCGCACATTCCATCGCGGGCGCGTGCGTGCGTCACCGGCACGTTACCTATAGGCATGCACGTCCCCTACAAAAAGGAACCAATAGCGCGCGAGCAGTCCTGGTGCTCGCGCTGACGTCCTCCTCGCACTCTTTATTTTCCCTCTTTCGTGCGACGCGGGGCCAGCAATTCCAAATACGCGGCCCGTGTCCTGTGCGATGTCAGTGAAAGTTGAAAAAACACCAGATGGTCGAAAATTTCGGAGCCCTCCATTACGGCGTCTCTCATAATCATGTGATGATTTTGGGACTTACAGAGAGAGAGAGAGAGAGAGAAACTTCATCCGCGCATAACGCGGAGCATTCCAATTGGTCGGGCCCCTATTCTAGGGCTGCGCTGGCTCTAGCCATCATCTCTACCCGTTGGACCAGCCAACGCTGATCACCAATAGACGAGCTCGACAGAAGTGCCTCCAATTGTTCCTCTGTGTTGTTCATGTTGTGGTGTTTTTCATTGCGATGTGTACACTCTCATTTGATGTGAAAGAAAGTTGGTGTGGCCCCACAATACGAACATACATCTCTCTATGCTGTGGGGTAGAATACATGCAGTGGTAGAATACTGGGCTGGCACCAAGCTGGGCCGGAGTTCGGGACCTACAACTCCCGACATTATTATGAATGTTCCCATTCTCGGCGATGGACGATTGTGCTCGCCACCTTCGTCGTACTGTGAGCACAGTACGACGAAGGTGGCGAAGGTGTAACTGGTCCACCACTGAGATTTCATTTCTAGTTACTTAGTGGATCGTAGCACAAGTTGTATTCATTTCAGGCGTACTCAGGCTCCAAAACTACCAATATAGGGGTCCCCAAGGATCAATATTAGGTCCTTTTCTGTTTCTCGTTTACATAAATGACCTGACAGGCTGTTTATCCCCTCACACAGATCCTTCCTTTACGCAGACTGACAACACCATATTTAGTGCTCACGACTCCATTCCTGCCCTAACCTCCAGCTAAACAGCGATCTTTAGAGCATCGTTAATTGGTGCCTTAACAACAAGCTCCCCCAGGTGTTCGAAATTTCTGGAGCCCTCCACTACGGCGTCTCTCATAATCATATGGTGGTTTTGGGACGTTAAACACCTCATATCAATCAAATTAACAACAAGCTGGTTATTATTCTTATAGGACAAAATTTGTTATTTTCAGTTCTAGGTCAAAAAAGCGAGATAACGCCCTCCCGATGTATGTTAATAACCATGAAATATTTCCTTCTGAAAAATGCACATTTCTCGGTGTAGAACTTGATTGTTTTTTGAACTTCAACCACCATATTGAGTTAATTAAAAGAAACACTCGCCTATGGTATTCGTGTTCTGCTCAGGGTTCGCCAGTTTTTGTGGCACTTCCTACACTATCTGCTCTCTATTTTGCTTTCCTTCATAGTTATTTCAACTACTGTATTGAATCTTGGGGACACACGTATAAAACTTATGTAAGCCTTAGCGCTTATTCAAGAACAGGCTCTCCGCATAATAACGCAGAGAAATTATTACGCCCATTAAGCTCCATTATTTTCTTCACTAAATATTCTTCCTATTGCAAATATGATCGCCTTTAACTTAGGCTGTAATTGCCTACCACCCGATACATAATCCGGATCTTTTATGTATTGTAGGCAATAAAACTGCCACTTCCTCAAGTAATACACGTTTCTCCTTTCAAAACAGTATCTGATTGCCCAAGCCGCGCACTAATTACGGACTAAAAACAGTGAGCTTCCCCGCCATCAAGGTAGGGAACACTCTGCCTTTAGAGACTAAAACCTCTCCCTCATTAAATGCCTCTAAACATTCAGTTCACCTTTATCTGAATCCTTCTTTAACATTCCGGCTTATGGGTAGTTACTGTCGTTGCCTTTTTTTGTCATAAATTTTCATGCTTTCATTCATTTCTATTAATTTATTTTTCTTCTTAAATATTTGTTAGTGTTTATTCCTAGCGACTGCTTCGTTTGCACTGTTTTAGCTTCACTTTTTGATTCCCTTTTCTGTGTAGTTCAATGCCAAATATTCTTTATGTTATTGCATACCATAATGCCTCTTTTATTATTTTGTACGCATAATAACGCTTCTTTTACGCGATCCTGCTGCTGTTTTTATTTTATTTTTGTGTATTTTATAGCAAGAGGTACCATTGCAGTGTTTACACTAAGAGACCTCTTTCTGTATATCTCTCCCTATATGTAACTCCCCACCCAATCACGCTCAATAAACTGAAACTGAAACACCGTTTCTCTCCGCACAGGTTTGCGTATTTTAAGAAGTCATCCTTTGCCGGTTTTATTGCTGCTGTCTTCACAGTTGTAACTACGGGACAATACATTACACCGATGCATAGGTGGCGAGCATCAGGCGTGTGCCCAGTGAGCCGGGAGTGTGCTACCCGACTTACAGAAAGTCGCACATTCCTTAGCATATAGCGAAATATCTACGGTACTTGTGATATCGGCAACACTGACACAAGTGAATTCCCTACGTTTTTTTTTTTCTGCAGCCCAGGGTGTGATCAGAACGCTTTCTGGGCCGACCGCCTGGCGTTAGCGAGGAGGCATTCATGACTGTACGCACCATTATATTATTATTATATTATTATTATTATTATTATTATTATTATTATTATTATTATTATTATTATTATTATTATTATTATTATTATTATTATTATTATTATTATTATTATTATTTACAATGAGTGTTCTCAGCTGCGACTTCCCCATTCACTGATCCTGAATTTCGCTGCACATTACATGCAAGTAACAAAATGACTGACGCTTTGGATTATGCGATTCACAGCACATACCTAATATTCAACGCCAATTCAATAGAAGTGAACATGATTATTGACTTTCCAGCTGGTGACTTCTCCTTGCTAACACTTTGAAATAGGGAAGTGCAAATAGTGGAATTTGGGACGAAGTCGTACACGAACCAAAAGTGATCATACAAAATCGAGTACAAATACAATACTATTTGAACAGTTTTCGATTGGCAAGGCAACCGCGTTCAAGAGAGTTCTAGAATGCTACAACTCTGTTTTATTTAAAACAATTATTCACAAACTTTCACTAAGTGACATTGCTGCTATATTTAACCTACAAAAGACACTAAAGTATTTAAACTGAAGTAATTTTAGTTACTATAGTATATACAGCGAGCAGAACCTTCACGTTATTTTCAAACTGCAGGATGAATAACACAGCTGTGGCTTCGCTATCCGACATGGCACTTTTTTGGCGCCAGCTTTTCAATTAAATTAAGGCCTATAAATTCGATAGTGTATCATGAAAGAACATGTGGATCTCCAAATGATGATTGTGGGTTGACGACAGGTTCAGTTTGGCGACACTGCGTGGAGTTTAAACTGAAATTCCTTCATCACATGACAAGTAAAGCTTAGATATACCCTTAAAAGCTTGAAATACATGTGCCTTGGCATTCCACTAACTAAAAAAGCGAAAGAGTACGCTTCGCTCTTCCACCCTGTTCTTCTGCGGTTTTCCCATCGTTGCTATTTGTTAAATGCAAATAATTTCTTTGCGTACTACAAGCATGTTTGGCGTCTATCTCCGTGTCTACCTATCTAGCTGCTTACGTCTGGTTGCTCACATGATCCCCTGTTTAACTTGGCGTGAACTAAAATCAGTATGGGAAGGTGAGATGGTTCGACAAATATTGCGGGCTGGTCAAGATATGAATAATTTTGTAATTCCGTCGCGTGCGTCGTCAAAGACTTTCCGCTAAAGAGTGGCACATACACGCGGGCGGCTACGTGCCACTGGTATGTCGGTGTGTGCCGCAGGTGATTGACACTTAGTATCTACTTAAGAACGACGAGAACATGCATGTATAATTTTAACGCGCGAGCGTTAAGAAATACCGGACATCGGTAACGTTGACCCGACGAATGCAAAGATTAAATGTCAGGGTCTCAGCTGGAATCGAACCGAAGCATTCTTTGTGGCAATCAAGAACTCAACGACAGAGACACGCCAGGTCTCGGAACCACTTTTCAAATTGACCCTAACGTTCACTGAAGCCTCATTTGTGGTTGCTGTGCTCACTATCCAATTTTATAAACATTACACATGTACTCCTGTTATACAGCCGTGACGGCGGGTCAAGGTGTATTGTATTTAGGTGCCATGAGTTGAAGTCGATTATTGTAGCAGTGTCTACGGCTACCATGCTCGCAAGAACTAGCACTTCATATCAGTCTATCTCTTCCGGTGTTGATAATACCCATGTTCTTGTTGTCATCGTTGCACAAGTGCTCATATAAACCACTGCTGATATAAACACCTGCAACTCTCGAACTTACGCATGTGCATGTAACATTTGTACATATGTTTAGCGTTATTCCACGACGTATCGCCCAACAAAAAATTTACACCACGGTCACCTTCCCTCCGCGTGCCTCGTACAACGTCGATTCCCAAAGTAGCCCCGCCGCGGTGGTCTAGTGGCTAAGGTACTCGGCTGCTGACCCGCAGGGCGCGGGTTCGAATCCCGGCTGCGGCGGCTGCATTTCTGATGGAGACGGAAATGTTGTAGTCCGGTGTGCTCAGATTTGGGTGCACGTTAAAGAACCCCAGGTGGTCTAAATTTCCGGAGTCCTCCACTACGGTGTCTCTCATAATCATATAGTGGTTTTGGGACGTTAAACCCCACATATCAATCAATCAATCGATTCCCAAGGTATTTGGGATCTGCTGAAGTTCAAAAAATGTAGTCGAAAATATTTTGCAATTCGAATACGAGCTATTCGCTGCGTTCTTCGATTCGCTATTCGCTTCAAAGTAGGGGTGTGTATATAATCGAAATTTTCGAATATTCGTACACCCCTACTTTGAAGTCAAACGATCGCTTTGCGTGCATATATTATGTCGTTAACTGTGTGTCGTTATTGTGTTTAATTAATGCGTTAAACAAAATTACCCGAAGATATACTACAGCAGAACTGCTATCGCCCCGGCCTTTCATTGGTCGTAGAAAGAAAATTATCATCATCGCGATGTTTGGTGCGATATTTTTTCGTCTACTTCATCGCTTTTCTCTTGCTCTTCTTCTTCACTCCCCGAACACGTGCACCAATTTGTCCACCGTGTGACGTGCAGTAACCCTGATAGGCAAGATAACGAGTACCGAGAAAGAAAGAAAGGTCGGGAAAAGAGAAATTCATAGCCTTGTATATTACAGTAAGGGTAGAAAGGGCAGTAAAGGGGAGTAGATCAGATGTGAGGGTGAGGACAGATGGGTAAATGAGTGCAGAGAAAGAGAGAGAGAGAAAGACATGGAAAGAGGAGAAAAAAGAGAGGAAGAAAGGGCAGAACGACACGAGAAGATAGCAAGAGCAACATATAGGCATTTTAAGAAAGATACAGACTGACACAGTCGAAAAAAAGATAAAGAATACAGGGCAAGAACAGTGCCGTGTACCAAGGGTTGGGATATACACATGTCTGGGGGTAAAAGCAGAACCGAACCAGGTGAAGCTATAGAAGCGCAGTACCTGGACTCTCATAGCAAATACTAAATTAAGGGTGCACTACCCTATTTCTCATGCTTCTTCTTTGTCATTCTCACGCTGTTTTTTTTTTACTGTATGTGTGTACCAACTCTCCCAAGCATCCAAACTTAGCAAGCTGTACTGTGACGAAGCCTCGCTCTACTTAGTGCGAGCTGCGCTAATCTTTCCGGATTTCGCGACTCTTTCTCCTCCGAATTTTGACCCCTTGCAGAACCGGGAGAAAACCGCCAGTTCGCTGCATGCGGCTTGGCCGACTGGGCACGCCAGAAGAAGTAGCTCGCTGCATCGCCTTCCTGGCGTCCGACGATGCGGCATTTGTCACGGGCATCACGATGCCTATTGATGGCGGCTCGCTACTTCTGTCCAGCGTCTCGGGCGCCGCCCAAGGGAAGGGTGCCCAGAATACTGCATGAGCTGCCAAGGACGTAGCCTTGAATGGCATTTACCATGTACCTAGGCTCTCTGCTAAAACAAAGGCAGCAGAGTGGTGACATTCCTTCTCACGCCAATATTTTCTATCTCTTAATTACACCATCTTAATTCAAACTCATCCAAAAGCGCATTCACGTGGTTTCCCCTCAAAGTCACTATACAAATAGAACTTTCACGCAAGGCACTCACTTTTGGAACAAGGAGGTATTCACTAAAAGTTAACTTGTGAATAAGTACATCATATAATACAGTCTTGAGAACAGCGGTACCAACAGTCAGCACTTTCAACATAAGAAAGAATTAAATTTTGACGTGGCTGTAGAACACGTGTCGCCTTGATTAGTTGTGTGGTTCTGTACGGAACAAGAGTCCAACATTCTTTCCTTACCCTTATTTTTCGCAGTACCTCCACCACGTCAGCTTCACATAGCGTTGCTGTCGCATGTAGCCGCTTGAAGGCTCCCGAGCTTGTTACAAGTATTAGGGGCGAAGCTCCTTAACGTGGCTGTAGAGCACGTGTCGCCTTGATTAATTGTGTGGTTCTGTACAGAGCAAGAGTCCAACATTCTTTCCTTACCCTTATTTTTTGCGGTGCCTCCACCACGTCAGCTTCACATAGCGTTGCTGTCGCATGTAGCCGCTTGAAGGCTCCCGAGCTTGTTACAAGTTTTAGGGGCGAAGCTCCTTAAAGCGGCACCCGTTCGTCCCTCGTAGTACGTAACATCTCTTACGCTTTGCCCTCCAAGGGGTTGCCGGTGGGAGATTTCTCCTGTGCATTGTTGAACAATAAAAAAATCGCAGAATTTGCGTTAACTAAAAGTCAAATTCTTCTGTCTCTCATTCCCCATCAGCAGCCATTGGCATGTTCCAGGAGGAAACGTTAGTAGAAGTAGAAGTGTAAGTGTTAGCTAAGAGCCGACTTCTGCTGTCTGCCATTCCCAGTAGCAGCCATTGTTTACCTTCGTGATTAATGTTCAAAACACCGTTCATTGATGAAAAAAAACCAACGAAAGACGCCAGATGTTTTCTAAAAGCAAAACGAAAAGACGCCAGATGTTTCTAAAGAAAACGAATAGACGCCAGCTGCTTTACGAAAGACGCCAGGTGTTTTCTAAAGCAATGGTTTTATAATCAAAACCATATCGCGATACAGGTCTGCAGTTGACGATGCTCGTTGTCTTCGGTGTGTGCTCGTATGGATAAGGATGCCGAGAGTAGAATAAACTTTTTCTAAACACATATACCATGAACTCGAGGTGGTTAAAGGTGGGAAACAGACCCGAAGCGCAAGCCGTAAGAAAGTGTGCGTGTGCCACCTCTCGTTTAGTCCTTAAAATCTCCGCTGGATGGCGGTGCTTCTATCTGGGGAATATATGATGAAAAGATCTGAGATGGTGGTACTTGGAGGGTTCAATAGATGGACGAACGGACAAACAGACAGATGCATGGATGGACGCATGAACGGACACAGGGGTGGATGCATGAAAGAACCCAGAGCGGACGCACGAACAGACCCACGAACAGACGCGCGCATGGACGGGCGGATGGACGCATGGACGGTCACACAGACGGACGCATGGACGGATGGAAGCAAGAACGAATGGACGAACGAATGCTTCGCCCCACTCTCCATCATTCACTCCGTGGATATGCTGCATTAAAGTGGATGAACTAAAAAAGCCTCCAGAACATTTGGCTACGTCACAAAATGCGCATTCGGTGAACTTCCAGGATATTGTCGTTTATTATTCTAGTAATTATGGTTATGCCACACAGTATATGTTGTATAATATTGCTTTCAGTTCAGCAGTGTCAATGGTAAAAGAACGCGCGTCAGTGCAGCAAAACTCAACGGTCAAAGCAAAAAACAGTGAGCAGGCCACAAATCAGCTGAGTGGCATTGACAAAGCAGGGTAGGAGGTAATTCACAAGAGGTATCTTTTGTACATCGACCAATCGAGAGCTTATTACATTCTGACGACACGTGAGCAAACGGCTGGCGTCGCGAATGTTGCCGCAAAGACAGAAAAAATCGGGAAAGAATAGCGCACCCGCCGATATTCGTATCATTGGGAGTTGTTTAGGCGCCCTTTAGAAAGCATGTTCAGGAGCTACCCAGACGTGGATGCTATCAAGCATTCTTTTAACACGAAAGTGTTTTATACCGGGATACACCACAACTCCGCTAACGTACTTTAGTCCCAGAAGTGACGTTGAAAACTATACTAAAAGATTGCAAAGAAATCACCAGAAGACAAGCATTCGTCGCACGCAATCGAACCGAGAACCTCGCGATTCTCAGCGCGTGACTCTAACCACTATGTTACGAAGAGTTTTTTTCTCTTCATTACCTGGCTTTATGAATCAACAACTTTATGAATCAAATCAACGCCACCGACACAATAAGATCCACAAAGTACAATGTACACATTTTGTACTGGTAAGTCAACCAGAGCTGTGCTGGTATTGTCGTGTTAAAATTAGGGTGAAGTCGCAAGCGGCTTTACCCTTGACAGCCAGTCTGGTGGTTATGGTTGAGCTTGGTGAATATCTACAAACCAATTAACTTTTTGCAAAAATACGCTTTTGCATGCCACGCATCCTTGTCAAAATGGTAGCCTTCCGTTCTTGATATTCACAGAGAGTGGAGGCCTAGCAGCATAATGGCGTCAAAAGGTACCTCATCTTCATTGACAACATTTAGGAACAGAATTCCGTATGGGTCTAGCGGGAACTCTTTCTTTATGACTTGCTGCAGCACGTCCCAATAATAAACCGCCTCCCAACAATGCAAAATACATGATCAATAGTTTCCGATAACTTGCAAATTAAACAAAGTGTTCTCCATGGCGAAAAAAAATCTCTTTCTCTCCAAAAATGCTTTTACTGCCACAGTGCCCAAATGATGTCACGGAGAGTACGTTGTCTGGAATGCTAAAGGCATATCATTAATATACACCATACACTATTTGGCAGTCCTGATAGCTTCGAAACCTCAGTGCGTTTTTGTTATCAATCACGAGATAGCGTGACTGGGCTCGCATTCGGTAAAACCCCTTAATGTAGAGAAAGCAGCGAAACTATCCTCCATATCCTCTCCAAAGTGTCCAACCCTCTCTTCCAAGTGTCCAGACCTAATCTATATCATCTTCCGAACAGCCACCGTGTGGGCGCCGGCCCTTTTAACCCGGCTCGTGCCACTTTCCTATCAAGAATGCTATGTCACGCTGATCAAACGCGCGGTGCTCGTCGTGGCCCGAGAGGCGAGATAGGAGTATTCGCGGCGCAGCGGCTCGGTTAAAAGAATGGCCGTAGTACTTTCCTAAAAATATCCAGGTATTCAGTGTAGGGTATAGTCAGGTAGAAAAAAAGCGCATTTGTTTTCAAACGCCGCTAACAACTACACACTGCTGAAAAGCCGGTGCAGAGGCCACACCGCTGAAAGCAGTTGCCGTCCACCTGGAATCTATCAAGTGACTGCAGTGTCCTGCGCTCTGTAGCCCGTTAGCTACGAACTGGTGGTTTGAATGTCCTTAAGCTTCGACAGCAAAGTATTTGCGTGAATTCGGCACCATTTTCGAAAAAAATATATATACTGAAATATTCTTTGCTGTACGCTTAGTTTGGCACACTTTGAATCTCGGAGGACATTTATTTTGTGTTTGTGAGTTGTTCCTTGCCCCGCCGCGGTAGTCTAGTGGCTAAAGTACTCGGCTGTTGCCCCGTAGGTTACGGGATCGAATCTCGGCTGCATTTCCAATGGAGGTGGATATGTTGTAGGCCCGTGTGCTCAGATTTGGGTGCACGTTAAAGAAACCCAGGCGGTCGAAATTCCCTCGCCGCGATGGTCTAGTGGCTAAGGTACTCAGCTGCTGACCTGCAGGTCGCGGGTTCGAATCCCGGCTGCGGCGGCTGCATTTCCGATGAAGGCGGAAATGTTGTAGGCCCGTGTGCTCAGATTTGGGCGCACGTTAAAGAACCCCAGGTGGTCGAAATTTCTGGAGCCCTCCACTACGGCGTCTCTCATAATCATATGGTGGTTTTGGGACGTTAAACCCCACATATCAATATGGTTGAAATTCCCGGAGCCCTCCACTACGGCATCTCTCATAATCATATCGTGGTTTTTGGGACGTTAAACCCCATAAATCAATCATCAATTGTGAGTTGTTCCTTATCTTTCATAGCTTATGCCACTCATGCATGCGGCAGCGGGACGCATGTTATTCGGTACTACGCTACGCCTTGGCGCTTTGCGTTGCCGGACACACTGAAAAAAAAAATTGATTTTAAATTTGTGTAGCACTGTCCCGAAAGCCCGTGTTTCTTCTTTCTTCGCCAATCGTTGACAGGCCCAGCACGTCAACTGGCGATCGGCGACACGCTTCGTCGATCGGCTTAAGCAAGTCACCTGCAAAAACAGAACAGGGCTTTGCCGCGTAACTGTGGTTGCTAGCCAGGCAATATGGCAGACCTATGCGCTATTCAGCTCTCGTAGGAAGCATATAAAGTTACTTTAGCGTTGGGCGCGCTCTTGAGTTCGTCCCCTCCACGAAGCACCGCCTCCACAGAGCGTGGTCTTCGGAAGGGGGCGAAGGTCACTTCACACGCTGCCACGGTCGTGTTTACAAAGGAAGCGCGCTGCTGACACATGGCCTAGGAATAATTGTGAGGGTTGTTCGCGCTTGTCTTGCGTATACTTGGGCGCTCGTTCCACGCGTCTTTCTTTCTGTTTGAACGTGCTTCAAGAGTCACGCTGTGGCAGTTGTTAGTCTGCGCTCGTCCTGTGTATGTCTAATTTCGTACATGCATTCTGATTGATGTTTGCGGTGCAACTTCCGAGCGGCTCGCCATTCTTAACGTGTCTTCGCAATGTGTTGCTGTTCCTGAAACAATGCACAATAAATGCTTCACTACTACTGTAAAGACACCTTTCACTTACGTGTTATACGGATTTATATATATAGGCGTATCAGCCAGTCATCTTCTTCTACGACGACCCAGGCGGTCTACTTGCGCTGAAGCATAAGCGTGGTACAAAAACCGCATTTCCCAGTGGCTGTCCAGATTGAAGTCATCCTGGAGATCTGTATCAAGTACGTTTCTCGCATCATCATTTCAATGTTCCTTCGTGAATGACACACATTTGATACATGTAAATGCCTTCTTTGAAACGACCACGCTAGCTGAGAGGCATCAATATTACCATAGTTAAATGTTTCGTTTTCTCGCGCGTCAAGCGCGATGCTGAGGGTAAAGCGAGTGATAGAGCCGTCCTAACACAGAAAAGAAAAGTAATAAAATTGCCGAAGCTTGCTGTAAGGTGCGCAAGCCTTGAAACTGTGAAACTGGACGATTCTGAAGACTAATCTGGTTGCTTCCACATTGTTTCTCTACCTTAGCTAGATGATGTAGGTTACTTCAAGGTCACTTCTATTTAGTTGCTTCGATTTATATAGGTGATGATAGGTTGTTTCTAAGTTAATTCTCAGAGAAGGAGGTTTGAGTACAACCACAGGTAGCCACAAACACGCCATGCGCAAGTTATCGTTGGCTTAACCCTTCCATCGCTTCGGGGGCTTCTAACAGTCGCAGTTGCCTTTCCCATTCCCTAGTGTTCCCTCGTTCTACAATCTCAGGGCCCTCGGCTCCCTGCCGTCGATTCGCAGTCGGCAGTCAGTCTAACTGTCGCCTTCTTCCTTCGTAGTAGAAGTTATGCTTAGAAGGATTCAACCATATTTTGTGGCAGATAATATCCGGGTTACTCCTACATTTCAATATCGCCTATTGTATTTCTTTAGGTTTTCGCCAACTGTTGTAGTTGACTTAAACCGCTCTTTGCCGTTAAAGACACCAATGCTTACTGCTGCACGGGGTCCCTGCATGGTTTCCGAGTACAACACCGCAGCCGCATGTTGCAGCAGAGGACCCAGTACGAAATAATTTAAAAAAAAAGGCTATTGCTGACGTGGAAAAATAAGCTTTTCTTGTTATCCGCAAAAAGCACGCCCGGATGCGTAACATCAGTCGCCACGTTTTAGAATAGCACCCTGACTTCTACTGGGAGCCTCACAGCTCTGGTGTGATAAAGGGAGCCGCCACTGTCATTACTGGTGTCGCGCCTCAATGCTGCACAAGACGAGGCTGACGTGAAAGTGCCGAAGGCGGTAACATTTCTACGTTCCAGTCAAGCAGTTGTATGAGACACAGTAGGGTCATTACTGCACTTCAACTCCGTGAACAGCGTTCAAGCGAGATCATGGGATAGGTATGGACAAAGTTGCTTTGTAGGAACACTTTTGTGTGCCTGACAATCATCTGAGGAGTGTAAATAATACCGCTGGCCTGGTTTTGCATAAGCGCTAGTTAAGCGAAACCGAAGATGCGATCAATTGGATATGCCGCCCTTGAAGTGGAAGACAGAGATTATGAAGAACAAGAGGGGAATTTTCTTTCGTTCAAACTTTCAGGAGTCGTGCATAAGGCACCTCGAGATACGGACACCTAAACGAGACCAAGCAAAAAAGGAAGAAGTTGCAGTCGCCAGATGTAATGGCTTCATTCTACACGCATTTATACCTTACGCGTCTGCGTCATGCCATCGATGATCCTAGGAAGGCACTTACAAGCCAAACCGAAGAACGTTAGAATTTTAGTATTGATGCTGCTTCGTAGTACAAAAAAATGCAAAGCAGGGTCTTCTGAAATCTCTGAGTCCGAGTTTCATGCTGGGAGAACGCTTATTTCTTCATGTCAGAGCGAAACCATAGTGTCACTGGTTACGCGTATTTGTCGTGCTCACGAGCGTGCCGCGTCATGAATTGGGACAAAGGAGGAAACACCACTCATGCTTTGTCAGCCCACAAAGGACTTGTGAGCCCATAGAAAGAGACAGGTGTGGTTATCAGGTGATGATATATATATGGCCTGATGCGATTAGTTCATCCTCAGTTGTTTCTGTGATGTGTCCCTCACATAGTGCAAGTAACTTACAAACTTGAATAGCCACACGTGCTAAGAAGTTTGATTTGTTATGAAATGTTCCATAAGGGCTGCTAAGTTTTCTTTAACGAGCACAAAAGCTGTATTTCAAACCGTAAAGTGAAGTTTTGGCTTATGCATGTGGTGTCATTGGACACCCAAAGGGGTGCTTCCCTTTTCGTGTTTTTCATTATCGTTGATGTCTTGTCTGGTTTAGATGATCGCAGTGCGCTTTTTTTTCCTTTGTGAGTCCAGCTATATATATATATATATATATATATATATATATATATATATATATATATATATATATATATATATATATATATATATATATATATATATATAAACTTCTGTTTGTATCGGTGCGCGCATTTTTATGTTTTCTCCTCCTTGAGCAGCCGCGCGTATTCCCCCAACCCAGGACAATTTTCATTGCCTTCGTACTGCAACTAATTACACTGCTGTGCAGCGCTCTGCACGTACTCTTGATTTGTGTTGTATCTTAAGGTGTAAACACTGTAAGCTAATTTCTTTTTTATGAGTTTCCGGGCTTATGCTATTCATACGTTTTTACTTCAAAGCATATACCCTTTCCCTAGTCTTAAACTTCTTTCATGTACATACACGACACCTTTTGGTATCATTACACTAGAAGAAAAACTTGGTTCGTATGATACTACTCGACCAGTGGCAATGCTACCTACAGAAAAGTATATTCTATTGGGTGGTGAAAGTATGGCATCAAACTTCGTGAAAAAAAAAAAACAGCGACCGAAAAGTCATTGAATTTACTTCAAAGCGTATAGGGGATGTCGGGTACTATGACATGCGTACAAAACTACAGAATTTTTTTTTTAATTCGTAATAATCAGAGGTTGATGCCGAAATGCCTCAGTTGCAAATCTCGAATGGCAAGCTTTTCTGAAGTGAAAGCGTCCTGTTTAAATATGGAATGTGAAAACGAGCATTGAGAGGACTGTCCGTAGATAAATGTATGCTGTTTGCAAAGACGATGCGTTACGCGCTAGCAAGCTCACTTTCGAATTCGTCTAAAATGTCTTGCCTACTGAAGTTGATGTGCTTATTGTGAATGACGCGCCACCTAGTGCTCGGTCGGCCAGCGCGGTGGCCCGCAGAGTGGTAAAGGACAGGTCTTCTTCTTCTAAGTGGGTGAATATTATTAAGTGGGGGAGTGTGCGTCAGCCGGCTGTGTTAAAACGAGTGCCAAGATCACTACATTGTGTGCGCTGTTTAGCCATGAAAGCCGAAGACGAAAAGCTTTTGGGTGGCAAGCCTAGCAGCGCAGTGCTTGCAGACATACAGGCTGTCAATGCGTTAAGCGCCGAACAGTTCTCTCAACTTGTAGACACCGCCTGCCGCTCGTCCACGGCGTCAGCTTCTTCGTTGGGTGGCGACGTAAGTGCCGTGCAAGATCTGTCTTAGACGAAAACACTGAAGTGTGTAGTTCATAGTGCATCATGTTTCCTAATGTGCACAGCGTGTTCGAGTGAGCACCGTTAGACTAGGATATGGTACCTGTCCTCGCTTGGACAGGGTTTGCTTGGTGCTGTGTGTGTGTTCATGCGATTAACCACTCATGAAAAAAGCAAGATGTACTTCGTCGTTTAAACTGTGCTGCTAGAGTGTAGCCTCAACAATTTGCGATGATTTTCCTATGCGCAGAATGGTGGCGCCATCTATGGCATGTTGAAGGAGCTTTTCAGCTCGACGTACCGTTGAACGTCATAGAAGGCGCTACATTATGTGCTTCGTGGTCCGCTGCCTGCATTCTTCAATGTTTTCCCCTTGGCGTTGCACGATACCTCCAGTTTTCCAGAAAAACGTTGCACCAATAAACAACAAGTTTTACACGATTAGTTGCGGCTTCCTCTACGATCACTTTGGTGCGAGGCTGTTTCACGGCGGTGAAATTACACATCGGAATGCATTCATTCCGCAATTGAATATCGCTTGTGTTCGCAATTTAATCAAAGCTGGGTAACTTCTTGACATTAGAACTCGCGTGCAAGAACTAGTTTTGAGAATTGGGCTACATAAGGTACGTGTAGTAAATATATCATTATGGCAATTATCTACCAGTAAAAATTATTGAGCGGTTACATTGCGAGCTGGCGCTATGAGCTAGTCTATTAACAGGTCGTGTTCGCTATCGTGAAGCATTTGTATGCAAACTTCAGCGATATAGAGGTTATCTATCTATCTATCGCTCGCTTCATATTGCCATGGTATGACATCGGCTTATGGCTGAACATACATGACAAGTTCTAGCATAAAAGTCATCACTTGAGTGTCATGTATGGCATTATACATGACATTATACATACTATGGTCACAGTACATTGGTGGCTGTTTCGTTAAATTCATATATCAGAATTGTTACGGTATATGGCATGACTGCATAGCGACTATGAATGGCAGTGAGATTAAAATTGTGCCTGTCATGTACGGCTTGATTTATATGACACACAATTGATGCACGTGCAGTGTTTTTTAACCTCAAGTAAGCACGCTGGAATTAATCATCGGTCTTATGCAATTGCACGTAATTTCATATGTTCATTATTGATTAGCCACAATATTGAAACTGGCACACCCGAGTGAAAAATTCGACGGCTGCCTTATGCCAGAGGAGAAAGTTTGTGGCGAACTTTAGGCTAAGATGCGGCCATTGCAGGAATCGCTGCTTAGAAAGAAATGGCATCACGTGAAGAACGTCAGCCGATTGAACTACACAGTGGCCGAATATTCTGCATGCCCTAGTGCTCTCAATTGCAACGTCGGGGCCTATAATCGATAACAAATGTCTGAAATTACGTGGTTTCTAATAACGTATATAAGACTTAAGTCCGTACAGCTTTTTCATACAATGATAAGACCTCGATTCGGTTAAAAGGAAATGCGTGCCCAGGGTATCATATTGAGGGGAAAGGGGGGTGGCAAATGTTGATTGTAGCCCCCTCTTCTTCCTTGGTCGAGTACAAAGGACAACATGCTTCTCAATGGATGCAAAAAATAAAAGTAAAATGATCGGATGAACTGCTTCTCACAATGGCCTCCCTTTGGTCTCAGGCTTTCCTGAAGATGCGAAGGAAAGCAGTTGTTCGAGTTTAACATTCGTAGTCTTCGGAAGCCATTTGCCATTTTTTATTACACCCTGCCTAATGTCCGTGTCGACGTCGTGTACGTAATGATGCAGTGTGTCGCGTAATGTACGCATAGGTTGAAGTTTTGTTATTAGGGCTCTTGTAGTGTGTTACTGCTGTCAGAAAGCTCTTGAAGGTAGATGGGAGAGTGCTGCAGTTAAAATGGTGAAGTATCGCATCCATTGTTGATATGTAGTTATGGGTTGCTCTAGGAGTAGGTTATCGTGTATCCAACTTTCCTTACCATTTCTCATAATTTACAAACTTTGATAAATATAGCAGGCAGGTTTTTCTACAATTTATTGGGCTCTATTGTTGGTTTCTTTGTGTATTTGAAAGAAAGATAATTTCCTCACTTTGGCTTGTTCTTACCGGTTTAGGGAAAAAGTGACCTGTAAGGCTACAACAGTAAGCTAGTAATATCATGTGCACTGAACATTGCAGGGAAGCAGTAAGCCTGGCAGTGAGACACTGACCCTCCTGTTGTCCGAGGCATCACGACGTGGCTTGGATGCTCCGAAGCTACGCCAGAGCCTGGAGTCTCTCGGCTTGGACAGTGCACGTGCTGCAGCCCTGGCTGATCGCTGGTTCGCATCTTGTGCTGCTCGGCCGCAGGTGATACTTCTGCGTTGCTTTTTTAAGGCTTGTTAAGTTTCTATTGTTGCACTGAACACAAGACCCTGCTGCACTAATACAGTGTCACTCTAAGAGTGAGCTCAGCTGAGAATAAAGGAGTTTCGCCAAGCATAATCGAACAATTTAAGTATTAGTATGTGTCCCCTCGGGAATCTATTAACGCAACTATTTGTTGCATCTGTCCTGGAACGAATGGAGTTGCAGAAGTTTAGCAAGTTTGACACACTGTTAGGACGCTTTCTATTCTAGTTCGTGTAGACCAGCGTGCTGGGAGACCACACGTACGAGTTGCAGCACGTCGGTTGGTGCCTTTTTGGCGTGGCACTGCGTCATAAATTCCCGCGCTGACACGCTGCAAGGTGTACGTGTGGTGGGGCATTTTTCCAAGAGGGCCAACATGGAAGAGAGCAGTCGCATCGGCGGAAGCCTTGACGTTAAGCACGCGTGATTAAATCCTATGATTCTCTCATTAGTTTTGTGTTTGAGTGCGGCTGTGTACTGTCAGCAGACAGCAAAGCGTTGCGCCGGCATGTACTGGCACCCCGTGGTAAAAAGTGTGCTAGATCCAAATGGCGCGCTTCATTTATGACCGATTTGACATCGACCTCTATTCAAAGTAATAGCGCTCGCCCACAGCTTTCAAGAAGGTGAGCACGGGCCTCTGTATGAAAAGAGGACGCTTAGCAATACACTTCTAAGCTCTTCGCAGCACACTACTACAATAATTGGAAGAAATGTTCATAGCAGTGTCTGGTATTCAAAGGATGTGTGTTTTCACCATGGTGGAACAGGGTGGTGGTCGTTGGGAACTGGCTACATTGCATAAAAATGGCTGCTTTTCAGCTTGTTTGGCGAAAAAATTTCCAGTAGACACCATGGCTAATTTTTGGCTACCTTTAAACTTCTCATTTCACATATTCAAAATGACTTTATTTATTCATCAATACTAAGTACTTCACTCATAATACTGCTCCTCTTCTATTTGACAGTAATAAATAATAACCAGGCTACTTTTGCTACCATCTCTTGAATTGTAGCGCCTTTTGAAGTACGCCCAGCAGCAACCCTTCTCAACAAGTGGTCCATAATCCCTTGAACAGAACCCCTTGAACATAACCCTGTAAATGCCGAACAGTTGCTGGGAAATATTTTTTTCTGTGCAGGAACTGGAGGTCATTATTATATATACACTCCTCATAGATTTCGATACTGTAGCAATACTTTAAATGTAACGACTGGTATGCGTCACTACTTGAGATGATTACTTGCTAAATAATAGGTAGGCTCTGGTGTAAATTTTTAGAGGTTACGAAAAAAAAAGAAGACAACCACCCATTTGTAGCACGAAGCCATAAGGAAATCCAAGGTTACGTTCGTATGACATGAAAAGAAGGTGGGGAAAAGAAAGTAGGTACATAACGCAGCCCCAAGTGGTCGCATTTCAATCGGTGAAGACTGTATAGATTTTACGCCAGAATTTTTTAGGATTGTAAAAATCGGAGGTGCACTGGTTCGAAGTGATTTGTCATTTCAAAGTCTTAGACAAAAACTGTAATTGATGCTTGCCTATGTTCATGGAGGAAGAAAGAGAAGATGAGGAAGCATGAAGTCATGCAGCCAGCCTTTGCAAGCCAACCTATTTTCTAGCCAGCAGTGTCAGCCCAACAAGCGATGTTTCGCATCAAGATCACGCAAGCAATGTGACCCAAGCAACATTGTGTGGCGCCCGGTAGATTTTGTTCGAAATGCACATACCGGCTAATTCACGCAGGAGGTTTCAAAAAAAAGAGTACCACCACAGAGGTTATTAAAACCTACCGCGCGCTCTCATGTATTGGTCACGTGTTGGGCCGACATGGTGGTCTTTACTTGGCTTCATTGGTGTGACGTAATGCTCTCAGTGTTTATTTTACTTCCTCCATGCCTATATCAAACTCTGCTTGGCAGTTTGCGGGAAAGCTCGCCTAAAAACAAAATTGCTATCACAGCAGGTGCGGCCCTGGCAGCTACGGGATGTGGAGTGGCGTTTCGGGGTCACTGTGGCCAGCTCATCGCAGGAGCCGCGAGGCAGCTTTGTGCAGCTTCGTTTAGCACTGGCGAACGGACAGGACGTGCACGTCGAAATGAACCTCGCTCAATTCTACTCTCTGTGCCACGAGATGGAGCAAGCCAAACTGACTTTGGAGGCCTTGCGCTGAACATCATTGTACCGATGTGTACCTGCTGTATTCCAAAGTGATTCAAGTACATAAATAGTAATCATTCGTCCTGCTTACTGTTTTGCAGTGTTCCTTGTGTGCAATTTTAATTGGTACAAAAATACATTGCAGAAGAACACACAGTCTTGCCTGCCCTCTATTGGGAGCACCTGGAATTGTCAGGGTATTTACAATATTACTACAAAAAACTGAAAAAAGGCAAACTCTTTTTCTTGTTTACTTTGTTAGACACAGTATTAATGAGAACTAACAGACAATAATGGCAGGAACAGTATAAGGGCTGTCACTTCAAGTAAGTGTAATGTAAATGAACAGAAAAAAAGGGGACTAAAATATTATTTGCTACTGACAGGATCCGAACCTGAGACCTTCGAATAACACATAAGATGCTCTACCACCGAGTCATAGTGGCGGTCATCCTTCAGTCAGCGCCGCCTGTTGCCGTTGTGGGGAGTGTGGAACACTTTTTTTTGCCCGTTACATGTTTACAATTTCATTACATTAATTTTAATAATATATTACATTACTTATAATTACTTCTGATAACATTCACTATACTTTCCTTTGCATTATTTTCTATTAGTTCTCATTAATATAAAAATTAGAAGACCTCAGAGCTTTGATAGTAAGTATTAAATGCAAAACATTTTTCTGCCTACTGCAGCTACTTTATGCATTTAAAACATTTTTCTGCCTACTGCAGCTACTTTATGCATTTCTATTTATCAATTGTTGCGACCGGCGTTCGCAGGCACCGGAGATCCGGGATGAAGATGCCAAGGTAGGAGGAAGTTGAACTTAGTGGGAAGGGTTTATTTACAATATTTAGATGGCAAGAGCTCTCTGGCCCGAAGCTCTACATTGAAAGGCTTTCCATTGAACAAACATACAGCAGCACGTGAGCGCTTTTTTTTAACTGTCTCATTTCCCTAGATCGGGGAATATGTTCATACTGCACTGTCCAATAAAAGGTCCCATAGCACACATGAGGGTCATTAGAGCGCACCGCTCCCAACAAACGCACGTACACAAACCAAACACGTGTATGGTCCTGGCGATGCTGCCTCCTCCGGCGAATCTTGCTTCCAGCGAGCGGGGTGAAACGAGTCTGTCATCTCGCCGCTCGGGCCAACCACCTATCCTTTGTCGAAGGGCGATCGTGGTCTAGACGCCTCCAAGGGGTAATGCCTGAGCATCTGGTACTTAATTGAGAGTCGGCGGCTCACCAGTCAGGGACGCACAGTCAGTGTGGTAGTTAGACGTCCGTAATCGGCGGAGGTTCGGCATTGTGGCTTTTACTCGGACACGAAAACGCCACGTGTAGCATCTCTGTGCGGACGCCGACGAGAGCGGTGCTCGGTAGAGTAATTGTAGCCACGCAGCAGCCCAGTACATGGAAACAGGAGGGCGTCTTTGCGCTGCTCCTTATCTCCACATAATGAAGCGGCAGCCTTTCTTCCGTTCTGGCGGCCCCGGCAAAACAGTGACCAGTGACTCGCCAAACGCAAAGCTCGTCCACCGGGGGGGGGGGGGGGGAATCGACCAGCCGTACAGGTAACCCGAAGCGTCGTCGTTTGGTGGCAATATATGCACCTTTATTAAGCACCACACCGGTATTCAAGCGAATGCCAAAACGCGCGCCAAGGTCAAGTATGACGCACACAAATTAGCGACGGATAGGTTGGTCTCCCTCCAAATGAATAATGCCTCTGCACATCTCTTTCACGAATGTCAGCGTGCAGTTGGGATGGAGAAATGGTGCAGAAAGAACCTCAAAATATTTATTGTTACTGCTAGCAGTTGCTCTTCAGAAAATGGGGATTTTTATAGCTGGTACATTAACTCCATAGCAGTACGCTGGTTGTCTTGGTCGTGATTCACTGTTACAAATCCATCCTGGAAGATGAGAACTGTACTTGATATTCAAAAGGGTGATCAATTGTCGGTGACATACGCTCTCCTGCTGACTTCGATTGATTGATTGATTTGTGGGGTTTAACGTCTCAAAATCACGATATGATTACGAGAGACGCCATAGTGGAGGGCTCCGGAAATTTGGACCACTTGAGGTTCTTTAACGTGCTCCCAAAGCTGAGCACACGGGCCTGCAACATTTCCGTCTCCATTGGAAATGCAGACGCCGCAGCCGGGATTCGATCCCGCGACCTGTGGGTCAGCAGCCGAGTACCTTAGCCACTAGACCACCGCGGCGGGGGACTAAACTGCCTGTGCTTAGATCAGCTAAAGAGGTTACAGCTGAGCTCTTCCTAGTTAGATGTCTACAAAGAACATTCCTGCTACACCAAGCTTCTATTTCCCACCGCTCTGTGCGTGCTGTGGCTCGCAAGCTGTGCCAGCGTGGCTGGAGCAGGACTCTATAATCCTTGCGCAGTGAAGTAAGGGCCGTGGTTCCTCTCTGGCTGCCGGACAACGGCTTTGAGAGCAGGAGAATCGCGTCAGAGACTACTTTGATCCCGGCGCGCTCCTCCCGCGCCTAGCCTCTTGCCCCACTTCTTGAAGCGCTACGCAACTCCGGCCTTCACGGCGTCCCATTCGCTACCGCCTAAATCCTGATCGCCAAGGAGCGAGCTGATGAGAAGCCCTGCTACATATTTTGTAGCGTCCTTATCTTTAAGGAGCCGTAGGTTTCAACGCCACGGTGTCTTGCCCCAGAGCACTAAACTGGAGTCGGCTAATCTCAAGGCAAGGAGGCTATGGTCACTCAAAGCGGAAGAACCCAGCCAGCTAGAGTGCATGCTAGGAGCAGGAGAAGGCGAAACAATAGCGATCGATCCTCGACCGGCTCCCTCTCCCCATCCAAGTCATTCCTGACTGGAGGGGGTGAATAGACCGCCAAGCATCGACTAGTCACAGCTCGATCACAAGATCCCTCAACTCGCATCGACCATTTCTGTCTCTACACTTTGGAGTTCCTCTGAGAGAAATACGATCCGCTTGTTCTAAAACACAGTTGAAATCACCCACTGGAAAGATACAGAACTGGCCAACAAGATAGGAATATAAAGAATTAATTAAATCATTTTGTTGCCGACACTTCACTCGACCGTAAACATTCACGATTCTAATGCCGGAACCAAGATCTACCGACAGAACACGACCATTTGAATCCCTGGCATAGCACAGCACAGAACCGGTGAATCGTTGCATTAAAATTACAGCGACTCCCCGGCAACTCGCGCCGCCTTAATTGCAGTAGGATTTGGTACCAAACGTTCTGTCGAAGTTCTTAATATGTCCCAATCTAGACACAAAAGTTTCCTGCAAACCGAGAATATCCACCTTGCGAGACCGAGCTAAGTGAATAACCTCAGACTGTTTCGACCCTGTGGTGATATCAGGACAATTAAAGGTAGGTATTGTGGGGGAAGCCAACATGAAAAATGAATAGGGAAACCACAGAGAACTAAAAAGGACAAGACGACTAGAACGACAGAATATTTTGTATTTGGGAGTACCAGCTGCTGTATAGCTACCTAGCCTAGCTACGAATGTGAATCCCCTTGAAGAGGGAGTCCTCATGCATAGAAGAGTACTCTCTGTCCGACAGCAGTGAACATTTCCAGCTGCCCGGCCAACACTTCGCACAAGAACCGTTGTTCGACTCACCCGATTCACTCTCCACGACGGTGGACAAGGTACACTCCTCGTCGGACTACGTCGCCGCAGCGCGCTTGACTTCTGGGAGGGCCTTGTCGGAGCAGCCAGGCCCGCCGCTTGGAGCCGCCGCCGGCTCCTCCTACAAGGCGTTCCGGGCTGAGACACGCCGTTTCCGTCTTCGGATAATCAGGTACCAATCCATGGAGAATTAAGCCCTCGTCTTCTTGGGCTTTGTCTTTATCAGCGGTGGTGGCGACCGCAGGCACGCTCACGGGCGCTGTTCGGCGGTGGACAGGAGGGGGGAAGCCTCAGCTTGGTCCAACTCCGCCCCCTCCGGCTTTCCCCCCCGGCTTTCCCCCTCCGGAGGCCGCTTCGCACAAAGGCCCCTCTCTGGCTGGGTCGAGCCCCCAGCAGCCGTCAGAGGATCCTGTTGGTCGTGAGCTGCGCTGCTCCTAACCTGCGAAGAAGAAGCACCGGCGACAGCAGCGTACAAGAAAGCACGAGCTCTGCAGGCTGATTGAGCAGTTTTTACATTTTCGCGGTCCAGAAAAATGATACCACCATTAGACAATATTGATTGTTCAATTCTATCGCCTCGCGAACTCACCGAATTACCAGAAAACGTTGCTAAAGGATTAGAATATATTGTTACGTCTACAAGGGGTTTATTCGAAGCAGACGTAACGGTCGACTCGACGGTATACCGCAGTGAACGCGAAGCAGCGAGCTCTTGCCACCAACCGAACGTCCTCTTCTTCTGCCACCACCATGTTCCCCGCTACACAGGTGCACATACCTAAATTACACATGTGGTAACACATGTGTAAACGCGGTTTGAGCGAGAAACTGCTAGCGCACTATGCGGGACCTTATCTTGTTGTAGACCGTATCAGTGATTTAGATTACCGCATAGCGCGCCTCCATTCAAACGGCCGACGGTCTGCAAAAACTGAACTTGTCCGTGTTGCACGTTTGAAGCGCTTTATTCCTCGAGAGACTGTTTGACTCGCCCAGCGGGCTTCGTCTGCGCCGAGGGAAGTGTTACCACATGTGTAATTTATGTATGTGCACCTGTGTAGCGGGGAACATGGTGGTGGCAGAAGAAGAGGACGTTCGGTTGGTGGCAAGAGCTCGCTGCTTCGCGTTCACTGCGGTATACCGTCGAGTCGACCGTTACGTCTGCTTCGAATAAACCCCTCGTAGACGTAACAGAGTGGTGGAGGTGCGGGGTAAGACACGTCGACGTACCACGGAGCCACAGATGTTCGGAGTTCGCCGGAGCCGTGGTCTTGCCGGTCTGCCGCCGACAACAGTCGTCATGGCCCAGAGCGAAGGTCAGGAATCAACCGCCTCGACTTCGCGCCAATCCACACTGGCTACATCTAGGCATCACTACATGGAAACCCGCCCGTTCGCGGGAATGGCAGGAGAAGATGTGG